GTACAAATGCGCTTTACACAATTGATGTGTGTATGGATTGGGATAACAGTTGTATGAGCCCCTAATAAAATGTTAAAAAAAAAAAAATACCTGGATGCACGTTTTTTGGGAAGTGGCATGCATCCTGCTGGACCACGGCAGACGTGGCTAAGTGCTTGTCTGCTTACAGGAGGGTCCGTGGTTCGAACCCACCTGCTGCTTTCGTAAACAACCCTGGGCAGCTCTACTCTGTCTTGTCTCACAGCTCTGGATTGGAATCCACTTGTCGGCAGTAGGTTTGATTTTGGTGGTAACACATGACACCCAGGGGTGGGGGGCTAGAGAATGTTTCAGGGGAGACCTGGCTTGCTGGCTCTCCTTAGTGTGTTTGGAAACATTTTATGTTTGGGCAGAAACAGAACACGTAAAAGCAGTTCCAGTCTGAGGACTTCAAGTGACTTCTGTTCCTGTCAGGATTCTTCCACGATTTGGAAAGGGGAGATGGCAGAGCCATGTCTAGACAGTGCACTGTCCCAAGGCTCTCCAAGTCACGGGCCTCAGTCAACCGCACGCAGGACCTCCACATGCTCTGACGGCAGAAATGCCATCACCTTTGAATTCCGTTTTCCTCTAGGAACTCTAAAGCCCCTCCTGTATGTGTGCGCGTATGTTTAAACAGAGAGGCTCACCGCGGGTTTCCGGTGGGAGAGGACCTGCGGTCACCCAGGTAACCTGCCTCCGGGAGCCCCGGGGCGCGGAGCGGAGTGGCTGCTCCAAGGGTTTTCCGGGTGGGCATCTTCACAGAAGCAGATCGCCAGACCTTGCTACCCTGGTGCTGCTGCTGTCGGACTCCACCAAGGGCTCAGACTCCAAGAACCCACAGCCACGGTTGCCGCGGCGGCTCATGGAGGCCCTACAGGGCAGGCCAGCCCTGGCCCCTGGGGGTCTGAGCATTCCACAGTCCCGCGTGTTTCTCCTGAGGAGCAGCTGGTGGTCAACTGCTGGCCTTGGTCAGCAGCTAGCCGCACTGGGGCTGAGGGACCCTGACATCCACGAAGGCCTAGAAGAGCTGGTCTAAGGAGACAAAGCAGTGGAAAGGGGTCCCGGCTCTCTGAAATCCCTTGTGATGTTTAGTAGGACGGCAGAAACCTTGCCCGGGGCCACAGGGATGGGCCGGGCTGGCAGAGAGCAGGCGTACCTGCGTCACAAGCCGGGCCAAGTGCCACTCCTCAGAAGGCCTTTCAAAAAAGCACTTATTTTAAATACAGCTTTCTGGGAAGGGGGGCAGGGGGTGGGATGGTGAGAGGCTAAAAAACCAGTAAGGACTGCGCTTGTTATGAACCTCCCCCCACCAAAAAAAAAAGTCACTATAGTTTTTAGAAACCGATTTAGTGATCCAATCACCCGTGTAAAGAATGGCAGTTTTATTAGGGCCCAAACAGCGTGCCGGGCTAAAGCAGCAGCAGCAGCAGCAGTAGCAGCAGCGACTATTAATAATCCACACAGCAGTGTCCCCAAGACTTCCTGCACAGAGCCAGTCCCTGCCCGGCTGAGTGCAGGGGGGACTCAGCATGGAGCCGCTGGGCCCCTGTGAACGCTGGGCTAATGGGACCAGGGCAGAGGGCGGCAGCTCTGCACTCAAGCAGTTGATGCCCCCGTCTCTACATGAGGGAGGGAAAAACACTTAGCTGTGCAGGGCCCTGAAGGACCAGAGTTCCACATGGGACTGTCTCCATTCATTATTACAAACGACTGCAAATATCCAACTCCCCAGGGTACCTTACTCCTGTGACAGCAGGAGGCTTTACTTTGAAATGCTTTCAAACGAAACCAAGATGCACAAAAAGCTCCCGAAAGTTCTCCACCTCCATCCATCCGTCTCCTCTCTCACCGTCCTCTCATTATCTGATATTTTGCATTTATGATCACAGTAAAAAATTCACTGCCTGTTCTGTGTATCAACAACGTAAGGACCTTGAGGAGGCAGGAAGTGAGAGTAACTGGCTGTGATCTCAAAAACCCACTGCCATGCAGCCAGTTTCTACCCCCACCAAGGACTACAGTCTTGGGTCAGCATCGACTCGATGGCACTGAGCTTGAGTTCTGCGGCCGAGGAGCAGACAGTAGGACGCGACTGTCCACGGGAATCCAGAGCCCGGGCTCACAAATAGGGGGAACACCCCGAAAAACAGAAGCCAGACATTCTAGCTATGAATATTTCATCCCTAAATCTTAGATGGGCCCTGTACACAATAATAATAATATGAAACTACTTTTGCTCCCATCTGTTGAGAGAAGCCTTGGTGGTCTGTTAACCTCGGGGTCAGAGGTTCAAGCCCACCAGTTGCTCCTTGGGAGAAAGATGAGGCTGTCAGCTCTCATGTAGATTGACAGTCTCAGAAGTGGGGATGGACTCGATGGCAGTGGGTTTGGCACCACACTTCTGGAGAGCACAAGATAAGCACCTACTAAGGTAAACTGTTTTTCACAACAGTTGCCATCCTGAAAATTAACTCAGTCATTAATTTCAACAAGCTTCTTATTTCTCTTCATGTGCCCTTTATTGGAAGGCTCATCCTCAGAACAGAACAAGACAGTGCTTCTGTCCAAAGGAGTGTTTTAGATCGGGGCTGGGCACCTGTCTAGATTTGAGCAGTAGCACATGAAACATGCTCACCCATCATTAGCCAGCAAGAAGAGGCCACAGAAAACCCCAACAAAGTACCACTCCACACCTGTTAGGATGGTTAACATGGAAAAAAAGAAAGAAAAAGGAAGGAAGAAAGGGCCGTCTGAGTGTTGGCGAGGACACGGATGGGGGCAAGCAGCACACACGCTGCTGGTGGGAAGGGACCGAGGCACCGCAGCCCTGAGACCACTGCAGCCGGTTCTTAGCAGCGGTCATCGCCCCAAAGGATTACCGAAATCAAGGATGGGGGGGGGGAGGAAGCAGGTAATAAGCATTTTAAATTGTTGAATATAAAATTGATGACACACAAAAAAAGCTACCCACCCCCATCCTCCCCGCCACCCCCATGTCTATGTGTTTGGCCCAGCCAGCGCCCGCCCAGAGTACTAACCCAACAGAAACACAAGCCTGCACCTGCCACACAGTGGTCTGTCCATGAAGGTTTATGGCATCTCTGTGTACGGGATCCTGGCTAGGGAAAAAACCTAAATGCCCTCCTACCTCCCCGGGTGAATGGCGAGCCCTGGGTCAGAATGTTACCTGGGGTAAAGGGAACAACCTGGGAGAGGTACAGTGACACAGATGAACAAGCTATAATCCTCAGTCAAAACACCCACTAGGCACAGACGTGCTGCCATATGGTTCTATTTACACACAGTCACAGAAAACACGCACGTGAAACAGAGCGGCTCCGGCAGACAAGGGTGGAGGAGGAGAGGTGCCCAAAGGGGAACCAGAAACCTCCAGGAGGCTGGTGTCATGGTTGTGGTGACAGTTTCAGGAATGTACACGCACATCAAAGACAGACAGAGTGCACACTTCAAATGTATGCGCTGCCTGCACAAAGCTTTGGGGGAAGGGCAAAACTCAACCTCACTGCCACGGAGTGGATGGCAACATGATAGGCCAGGGCAGAACTGAACCTGTGGGTTTGAACTGCTGTACTACGCCACCAGGGCTTCTAATGACCACCCCTGAATTCTTTTTTCTTCAGAAAACTCACGGGAAGCAGTGCAAACTATGGTGAGAGGCCGGCACTGGGGGCGCACAGCATGAGCCGGCTTCGGGCCACCAGGACTGGACTTGTCATGTGCGCAGTCATCTGCGTCTGCGTCTTTCTGTATTTCAGGAACCCGGATCCCGAGGACCTGCAGGAGGAGCCCACATACCCCCTGGCGGTGGAGTGTGGCTTTTACCCTGACGAGCTGTGCTCAGCTCTCTTCCACGGGAAGGGGGCGGCCCCGCAGGTGGCCAAGTTCTGTAAGAATCCCCATGGCTCTGAAATCCTGGCTCACTTCCACGGCCCAGGAAACTGCTCCCGGCTGTTGGAGGGCTTGCGCTTCATCACCAGACCCCTGTCTGCAGAGGAGGGCAACTTCTCCTTGGCTTATATTGTGACCGCGCGCACAGAGCTGGCCATGTTCGTGCGTCTTCTGAGAGCTATTTATGCCCCTCAAAACGTCTACTGCATTCACATCGACGCAAAGGCCTCTAAGAAGTTCAAGGCGGCCGTGCAGACTCTGGTCAGCTGCTTTGGGAACATGTTCACTGCTTCCAAGGTGGTTTCTGCTGGCCTGACAAGGCTACAGGCAGACCTTAACTGCATGGAAGAGCTGGTCCACTCCAGATTCCCATGGAACTATGTCCTTAATCTCTGTGGCCAGGATTTCCCAGTCAAAACCAACAAGGAGATCGTGCACTACCTCAGAAGCAAATGGGATGGTAAGAATATCACCCCTGGAGTGGCCCAGCCCCCGCAGGGTGCCAGGCCCAATGCCAACCGCAGCCACGGCCAACTCACCCCAGAAACAAGCATCTACGAGCCTCCAAACGAGAGCTTCCAGGCCAAGCCACCCCACAGCCTGCAGCTCTACTTCGGGAGTGCACACTACGTGCTGACAAGGAGGTTTGCCGAGTTTGTCTTGACAGACGTCCGAGCCAAAGACCTGCTTCGATGGTGCAAAGGCATCCACAGCCCAGAGCGACACTACTGGGTGACCCTGAACCGAGTCCGAGGTATGAGCAGTCCGGGATGAGTCCTTCATGGTCGGGGTTAGCAGCGAGCCCTGTGCCACATTGGGGTCTTTTTCCAGGGAGAACTGCAATGCCCAGCTTGAGCTTGGTGACCACTCTGAGCACACAGTTGGGGACGTCTTCTCTCAGACATTTCTCACTGCCATCGAGTCAAGGCCAGCTCATGGTGACCCTATAGGACAGGGTAGAACTGTCCCTGTGGGTTTCTGAGTCTTCACGGGACTAAAGAGCCTCATCTTTGTCCCTTGGAGTGGCTGCTGGTTTCAAACTGCTCACCTAGTGGCTAACAGCTAACCTGAAACCCACTATACCAGGGCTCTACCTACTCATTACTTAATTAATATTCTCTCAATGCTGACTCATAGCTACTCCTGTGGGTTTCTGAGACTACAACTGTTTATGAGAGCAGAAAGCCCAGTCTGTCTCCCAAGGAGCTGCTGGTGGTTTCGAACTGCCGAACATGTGATCACAGCCCAATATATAACCACTGCCCCACCGAGGCTCCATTTATTCACTTACTTATTATCACTGGGTGCCTACAAGTGCCAGATGTCGTGCTGAGCGCTCCAGCAGAATGGGAAGGGGCAAACAGTGTAAGAACAGGGATTTGTGTGGCAGACACACCCTCGGGTTCTCTGGCATGTAGAGGAAGTCAGATGGACTTCATTAATCAGGTGGGACAGAATGTCTTCCCTTTGTGTAAGGCTGACTGGCTCCCATCAGGAAGGGGGCTCAGTTTGAACCTTAAAGCAGTCAGTCTAGACAACAATGCAATCAATGAATGTGACAGAAGTTGGGAAGGTTGTTTGACAATCTCTCACATTCACCCACAAGCCTAATCAGAGGGCAGTTACAGAGGAAAAAAAGCCCCAAATCTCCTGAATTATGAAGAGCATTTTATAACTGTTAAGTACCCGGCAAGGGGCGGGGTAAGGGGCACGAAGTGAGGTCTCGGCACAAAGATGGAGATTCGAGGCCTGATGGTGGAGCCCAAGGCCCCAGCCAGGAGAGCGGAAAGGTTGCGTCCTGAGGCAAGACCCCAGGGCTCTGCTTGCCTGACCCTTCGGGCTATTTCCCTAGATGCTCCAGGAGCAACACCAGATGCTGGCTGGGAAGGGGACGTTCGAGCCATTAAATGGAAACAGGAGGAAGGAAGCACTCACGACGGCTGCAAAGGTAAACGCCCAATCCCGCCACACCCAAACCTTCACCGTGTGTACGGCTAAGACACACCTCTGCGACGTCATTGGCACTGGGGACGGCTGGCCCTCCCTCATGTGACGGTCTGATCAAACAAACCATGGAAAACCAGACTCACTCCCAGCGACCCTATTGGACAGGGGAGAACTTCCCCTGTGCGTTTCCAAGACTGTACCTCTTTACAGGGGCAGAGAGCTTGATCTGTCTCCCAAGGTGCAGTTTTGGAGGTTTCCAACTGCTGACCTCAGGGTGAGCAGCCCAGTGCATAACCACTACTCCACCAGAACTCCTGAAGCCAGCAGGTGTTCATTTTAGGGGGGGAAATAGAAAACCTCAACTTTTTATTAAGGAAAAATCTCCCTGGAGTAAAGTGCACAGATCGGCAGTCCCCAGGCTGAGAAATCTCACAGGGTGATCACACAGCAGCAGCGTGTGGTTTGTAGAGCTTCAACTAGTTAAAGACAGGTGAAAAGTGAGTCCAGTCTCCCTTACCTCTCCCCTGAGAACTGTGCTCTAGAGCAGGGACAAGCAGCCACCACCCATGGGCTACATGCCACCCACTTGTGTAAATCAAGCTGTATTGCAATCCAGCCACCCGTGTTCCTCTGGTCTTGTCTGCCAGCTCTGCACATGGACGGAGACTTTCTGGCGCGCCACACTGCCGTCTTCGCGCTCTGCTCCTCACAGCGGAGCTCACGGCCTGCTCTAGAGCGGAGCTCCTCATGCCTTTCCCACTCCAGGTCCCCATCCCAAGAGATCTGTACCCAGGCACCAGGCAAGCACAGCCAGAAGCACCCGGAGTCTTGACGCGGCTGGTTTTGAACTAATTGCTGGTTGTTGTGTGTTCAGAAACCTTTCACTGTTGCCATATATTGTGACGCCACCTTCAGTTAAGAGCCTGGTGGTGTAGTGGCTGCGATCCCCAGAGTGGGCAGTTTGAAACTGCCAGCAGCTGTTGGGAGAAAGACAAGGCCTTCTACCCCCAGGGGTGCCAGGAGTCAGGACTGACTTGACCGATGCAGAGTTTGGTCTCACCTTCGGCGACACAACCACATGCGGCAGGGTTGGGGACGTCGGGCCCCAGAAGGCCTGAGACCCAGGCCTCAGCAAAGAGAAGCAGTTCCAGCCATCCTCCTATTAGGGCTGAGTTCATTAAATGTCTGAGCAAATATAGCGGGCTGACTTTTAAGTTGATAATTTTTATATAGCCTTTGGATGATGTTACAAATATGCAAATGGTCCTTGGGAGAAAAAAGGTTCCCTACCCCTGCTATATGGGATGGAGCCCCATAGTTGAAGAAGCTTTGCTCTAGAGTGGCGGGCCTCACACCTGGAGAGAAATCAGATTTTTCACAAGACTACAGACTTCAGTTTTGCAAGGTGCCTTTTCCAGCCTGGGGGCTGAGTAGCTCTTTGGCAGAATCTTGGTGCTGCCGTTGTTACTGAGCTCAATTTAAGAAATACCCACCCTCGGTGTCAGTCTGCTCTCCGTCCCACAGGGCTGCTGGGAATGGGAATGGTGGGGCAGCAATGGGTTCCGGCTTTCCCTGCAGGCATCGGGCCCCTGCTCCCTCTGGCTTCCCGAGGGCTGCTCCTCAGCAGGAGGACCTATCTGCAGAGTGTTTGAGAGCGGCTCTTCTCAGGTTTGAATAGAGTGGATATGCCGTTTTCTCAGCCGTTTAAAAGACTGACCTTAAGAAGGCAGGCTGTCAACAAATATGAAACATCAAGTACCAGAATCTTTAAAGGCGAGTGATTTGAGCTGCCGTGCGCCAGGCTGCATTCGGAGGACAAGGACGCAGACGCGGGACGTTTTCCTAGAAAGGTGGATTCCCATAGTGGAAAGGGGGCAGGGAACACTGGCTGGCCTGCACCCGTGCCCTTCCCTACAAAGCTGGGGTGGCCCCTGGCCTCGTGCTGAGGCTGACCATAGATTCAAGTGAGCAGCGAGGGGAGAGTTCACTTCTCCCTGACCGATGATAATGATAATGAAGTCATGGCTCAGAGTTTTTCTAGTGAGACTCTTCTAAATGAGAGTAAATAAGGGTTGGGTTTTTGTGGGGGTTTTTTTTTGGTGGAAAGTCATTATTATAAATCTAAACCATTATTCCCTAAACGCAAGCACCTGGGGAAGTTCTTCACTCTACTGGCTCTGGTGTGCATGTGGCCGGCAGGAAAGCGTGGCGAGGTCATCTCTGCCCGTGTTTGCAATGTGCACGGGACCCAGTTGTGCACCGCTGAGGCGGCAGTGGGGAAGGCCCTCCAGCCAGGACTGGCCCTAGGAGGTCAGTCTACATTTCTTGGGTTGACCTGGCTACTATATCTCCCTCATAAGAGAAGTGAGGTCTATGTGCAAGTCACAGGAAGTGACAGGGCTGGGTTTACTGTCAGGTGACCCAAAACTCCCTGTGGCCTCTGCCACACAGAGGTGCCATGGCTCCCTCCCACCCTGCTGGTCCTCATGTTGGTAAAGTGCACCACGCTGCTTCACAGTCGAGCGCTGTGTTCCCAGTTAGCCTGAGGAGGCTCTCTGCCTGCTAACCCTCCACGCTGAGGGACAGCCCCCCAGCTCTGTGGGAGAACATGGGCCTGGCTCACGGCCAGCAAACCTACAGAGCAGAGCGGCTCTTCCCCACCACACAGCTGGTCACTGTGAGCAGAAATCAGCTGGATGACAACAGAGCTGTGGGGGCGCCCACTCCCTTCCACACACACATGGCCTGTCCCCTTGCCTTCCCAAGGAGAGGCTAAGGGGCAGCGCCCCAGAGCTATGTGAGGACGAGTGTTCAGGAGCCAAACACACTGAGCTGGTCTCCAGGACTGAAACTCTCGGCTCCAGGCAAACTGCTGGCAAACCCAGGAGGGAAGAAGCAATGGTTTGCTAAATCCAACACGATTCTTAAGAAACACCCACAACTAAGGGAAACTTAACAAGGTCATGACACCAATGCCTCAAACTAGTGTAGTCAGTTTAGATGGTAAGAAACCTGAATTTTCCAAATCTGGGTGACGGGGAACCAGAGCGGGAGTGGAGAAAATCCCAGGCCAAATGAAGCCCATGAATAGGCGAGTCAGACATGGCGGTGACCCCTTTGGGGAGCCTGAATTGCCAGCAGAACCATGGAGAGACATACAGATAGGCAGACACACATACAGTCAACCACCCTCTTTGAGCTGGGCACCGTTGTTTCTGATGCTGCTCCCAATCCAGGCAGCAAGGAGGCTGCTGCTATGCACCAGGCGTGCTGCCCTTGTCCCCAGGTTCCAAGTCGCAGTCCCCCCACAGCAGTGTGGAGCCCTGCGTGGAGCGCAGAAGCCGCCAGAGTCTCTGGACAAATGAGTGCACTCTCCCGACACAAACCCTGCTGTGACTGGCGCAGTGGCCATTCTGTATCCACCTCACTGACAGAAAGGGGCCCACCATAAACTCAGAACTCCACACAAAAGCCCATCTAAGTCCCTGTGACGTGAGGACCCTTTTTTGCACAGGTGCCGGCTGGTGGGAGGGCAGGGCCTGCTAAGTTCTTTTCCTTTGCAGGCCACTACGTCCAGGACACCTGCGTCTACGGGCCCGGGGACTTGCCGTGGGTCATCCGATCACCTTCTCTGTTCGCCAACAAATTCGAGTCGTCCAAGGACTCCCTGGCAGTAACCTGTTTGGAGAGGCGGCACCGGCTCAAAGTCCTCGGGCAGGCAGAGGGGCCTGTGGACCCCCACTGGCACTTCCAGCAGGATTCCGACTTCAACATGAAGCTGAGTCACTGAGGTGCAGGGCCACTTCCTTGGGACAGCCCGGTTTCCCTGACCAGAAATGAGGAAACATCTCCTCGCAGATGACTCTTCGCTCCTGATTACTGGCCAATGGTAGAGTTGTGGGAAAGACAGTCAGAAAGGGCCGGCTGCTTCTGCCACAATGGCTGAAAACCACCATCTCCCCTAGACCTTGTACTACAATCCCGGGCCAGGTGGGACTAAGCACATACGTACATGCATGCACTCGAGAGCACACACAGACCCACACACACCCTTGCGTTGAAGGCCTGTATGTTACTGTGCATGAGACACTGTGATTGAGTTGGGTTTTCTGGTGCAGCACGGCACCTGTAAGAAGATAAGGGTGGACTTTAGTCTGTCAATCCGGTTGCAGCTTGATGACCTCATTTGCAGGTGCCACCAAGATAAATGGCTCTCTGGAGGCGGCCACTCTCTCTGCCCTCACCTTCCTGTGGAAGAGCCACTCGGAGACTGGCGTGAACCCTGCCAGAGCCTGGTCATGCTTGCACCGCCGTTTGATTCACAAGACTGTGCCCCCACAGCCAGTGCTGCGCCTGCATTCAGCATCACTGCCCGTGGCTTCGGGAGTCTGGAGAGAGGCTGACGGGCTAATAAGGCTTCTTACTGTAAGCTTTCTCTCACACACATGTGAGTGTCCCTGCATGGTTTCTCTAGTCAACCTAACACAACATTAATACAGAACAAATTCTGAGTGCAACGGGCAAGCTGCTCTCTGGCTCGAGAGCACGGTCACTAGTCCTGGTGACCACAGACACACACTGACGGGTCCCTTCTTTTGGGTGACATGCAGCTAACCTGGAGTTGAAACACCACAGCTTAAACAAGTCGCCTGGAGTTGATTGTGCCCCGCAGCGCTGTCTCAGAGAACTTCCCGTGAAGATTAAAAACACCCCACACCTGTGCTCTTCAACACCCGCCCCAGGTGTGGGGATTGCAATTGATGAGGTAAATCTAAAGTTTCATTTAAAGCACTGTCAAGATATTTAAATAGTCACATGTGGCTTGTGGCTACCAGACTGCACAGCAGGTCTAAGACGAGCGCCTCGGTCTCTGCTCCCTGGCCCACTCCCTCCTGTAGAAGAAACACCAGGGCAGGTGGCATCGGCAAGCAGTTAGGAGGCTGCAAGTCTGAATGCAGGGCACTGGTTCTGTGGGCTTTCAGAGAAAGTTCCTCTCTCTGGCCCTTTAATGATCTTCATGCGGGGCCTGTCTTCTGCTGACTGCCCTTGCTTGCTCTGTGCTTAACATCTTTTTATGTTCTGGACAGGTATCCAAATCAAACTCACTGCCAATGAGCCAACTCGGAATAACCTTAAAGGGCACGGCAGACCTGCCCGTGGGTTTCCGACTGTCACTCTTTACAGAGTCTAAAGCCCCATCTTTCTCCCGAGGAGTAGCTGGTGGTTTTGAACTTTAGACCTTATGGTTAGCAGCCCCACACATAACCACTACGTCAGCAGAGCTCCTTTGGATAGGTATAGGGTAAGGAGTGTGGTGGGACACAATTCAGGACAGTGAGCATCTTTCTTCTGGACTTACAGTATATGAGGGGGTTTCAAAAAGCTTGTGGGAAAATGGACTGAAAAGGTCATGAAATTTTCCCACGGCCTTTTTGAAGCCCCCTTATGTAAAGGCCTCAGTCAACTGCAGCTTCTCAGACACAGAGATGACGTAAAAGCCCCGCGAAGCCAATGAGCTAACCCTTACAGAGCACGTGGCCGAGAGAAAACGCTGAAGCAGACAAAGGCCAGTCACAGCCCAGCTTGCAGCGGAGCAGGCATTTCGTGCTCACCGGGCACATGGGCAGGCTGAGACGGGCAGACACAGCACAGCGGTCTGGGTGGCCACAGACCAGCACTTTCCATGGTGTCAAAGGCAAAACTTGCAAGCGCCCAGCCACACTGCTCCCTGCATTCCAAAGGGCTGTCCGGATGGCTCAGATTGGCTGTCTTTAGTTCTGCCCCTGTAGCTTATGATGGCTCAGCAGCAGCTACTGGCAATCCCATTAAAGCAGGGAGAAGAGCTGGAAGGTCTCGCACCCGTGCCTCACTCAGGAAGAGGGGCCTGACCGGAGGGCCCGTGCAACGGGGGCATGAGCACGAAGCAGTAAGGGAGGCGCGGGGAACGCCGGCCCGGCCCATTAGCCCATCTCTGACCCAAGTTCATGGAGCTGGGTGCTAGCAGGCCAGAGGCTGCCAACCGGACCTCTAGACCCTTGTAAACCTGTGATGCCCACAGGGTTGGGGGTAAATCACCTGGGGTTCTTGTGAAAATACAGGTTTTGGTTCAGTAGGTCTGGGGTGCGATCTGAGATTCTGCATTTCTTAATGAGTCCAACGCAACAACACAAATATTTCTCTCTCTGTTACACACACACACACACACACTGTGCTGCCAAGGCTGCAGGGCAGGGCTCACACTGAGCAGGAGCATAAACTGCTTTCTTGCCTCCAATAATTACTCCAACGGGTTTCTTCTGATTGCAAGAAGCAAAAAATCCAGTGGGGAATACAATTCATTTTTTTGGCTAGTGATTTGTTTATACTGCAAACAAACAAGCCTAGCAACACCATCTCTCTGGATCCTGTTGTCGAAAAACAAGGGTGCCGCCTGGCGTTTCCGAAGATGGAACAAAGTTGCTACAACTCTCCAAGTAAGCCCAGGAACCAGTGCCTGTGGGGGGGTGGGGATGCCCCCACAGACCCAAAGGCAGAGACAGTACAAGCCCCAGGACCACTGGGGTTGCTAACGCCTAAAGTTCCAATGCTACATTAAAAACGACAATGTTCCCCACCTAAGTTTGGCAGAATGGCTCTCTCACTCTCACGTGGAACCCATGACCATGATGCACCGCACTTCCTGAACCATCACTCTTCTTGCTGGCAGTCTGGCAGGAATGGCTGGTGTTTGTTGCTTCTTCCTGGGCACCCTGCTGGACTACATTTCCCAGCTTCCTTTGAAGTTAGGCACGACCTTGTGACTGGGTACTGGCCAAAAGATGTGGTACACGTGATGTGTGCCACTTCAGAATTGGCCTGTCAAAGTCCCACGGGAGCCACTCTTCTCTCCCCAGCAGTCATTGGATAAAGAGAGAACATTTGTGGCCAGCAAGGTGACTCCGGCTCACGGGGGTAACCCCTGCGCAGCATAGCAGAACTGGCCTCCCGGGGTTTTCAGCGTGAGCTGCTTTACGAAGCTGCCTGGGCTCCTCCTTGCTTCACAGACCGGACGGGCCGCAGCTGCCCTGAGCAAGTCTGCCCACGCCGTTCTCACAACAGCGTGTGCCGTGGCCACTCTTGAAATCTCAGACTCGTCCCAATGCTGTCTCACTTCACAGACCGGACTCTGACACACACTCTGCTGTGACACTTCATTGCGGTGGCCTGGAGTCAAACTGGCAGGAGTATCTTCCAGGCATGTCTGCAGATAGACAGGCTTTCACGGTACCGCAGGGTGAACTTAAACCTCAAGCTTCCATCAGCAACTACATACCATATATACCTGTGTATAAGCTGAGTTTTTCCAGCATATTCTTTATGCAGGTTTTGTGGTAAAATTGGGTGTTCCGGCTGATATTCGGTTGGCTTATACTCGAGTATATATGGTAAGTTAGCTGTTCACATCACCTAAATGTGGGGGACCCTCACACAGAGGAGGTCAGAGCTTTAAGGAGCCCCCAAGTCCCCCATGAAGGCAAGCTGTCTAATCTGAAGTTGCACTGCATTTGCACTTGGAGTCTGGAGGGCCCGCTCTGTCAGAGCAGTCAGCGAACCCTGGCTGACCTACAGACAGTCCCCGCCTGACCTACGGGAGGGGGGGGGGCTCCATGTCCACCAGCCCATCGTTAGCGGTTCTCAACTAAGTTGAATACCTCGTTTGTGACACCTTTTATTGTCTGCATGTATCTTTATAAACCTGGTCTTCGTTTGTCTTTGGGGGCTGGAAACATGACATATAAACTTACAGATATACTTTAACATTGTATGTGATACACATTGTCAATAAGCTATATAATAAAAACCAAAAAAACACCGTTGTAGAGCAGTTCCCTGTAACTCACATGTCACAAGCTGAGAACTACCTACACTCAGTATTGCCCAACTGTAGAGAATATGTTAGGAATTCAGATCCTGAGAACAGTGTACAAACATCACTTACTTCCTCTTTTTAAGCACTGTTGGGGGAATCGTGGAGCTCGGAGGAAAGCTGTCAGGGGATTTTCTGGTACTTCTCTCTCGCACGTGTTGGAATCTGAAGCCCAGAGGCAATCAGCCAGTCTCCAGGGCAGAGCTGGTGCTCCATGCACCCCTGCCTGCCCCACACCAGCTCTCCTCCTGGCCAGTACGAGCCCCACTCTGGTGGCACTGGCTCCACTGAACTGTATGTGCCCAGATGTGAGAGGACAACTCCCACGGTTGTCTTCTACTGGCAGCAAATCTATTTTTAAGAATAACTTCCAAGATACTTCTAGGAAGATGTAGGCTTTCTTGAACTACAGCGAATATCTTGTGTTAAAAAGCAAAGCTGTCTCCTTTGCTTTCTAAGCAAAGAAAGAGGCAGAGTCTTTTCAATGGCCTCCCACCTATGGGAGACGCAGACAATGAACCAGCAAGAGCAGAGAAGGCCAGACTCACGGAGTCACGGCGGAGGCAGCTGCTGACTGTCCCACAGCCCGCGGGCAGCGAAGACGCCTGTGTCTGGAGTAGAGCCAGACAGCGCCTTTGCGGCAAGGACGGGGAGCCTTCTCTCTCTCCTTTGGACACGCTGACAGGAGCGACCACCAGTTCCTGCAGAAGGGCATCATGCTTGCTCACGCAGAGGGTCAGCAGTAAAGAGGAAGCGCCTCCGTGAGACGGACTGAGACGGAGGTGCGGAGGGGTGGGACCAGGCGGTGCTTCGTTCTGTTGCACGTGGAGGCACTACGTATCGGACCAACAACATCCGGTTTTGATGGCAGGAGTTCTAGCCAACCACACAGCCTCCCTGGGGGTGGGGGCAGGTAGGGCTCTGTGTGTGGCCCGGTCTCTGCTTCCCCTTGGGCAACCCCAACTGTGGCTCCGTTCCCCTTTCCTCAGCCGTCTCCTCTTCCCCTGAAGGCCCCGGGAACTGAGTTTCGAGTTTGCCAGTTTTCATTCGACGGTGCAAGAACCAACCAAAAGATCTCAGAGTTCCCCGGCTACATCGGCTTCCAGGAAACAAAACCAAGGTCTGGGCTCAACTCCGTGCAGACGGTACTGTGTGGCATGGCTGCCCAATGGCTGTTTCAGTCAGCAGAGGGCGACTGTACGCCAGAGAGCGAGCCGTCACAGGTGCCGGTGCCAAGGAAACAAAGGCTGGATTTGAAAGCAGTGCTTCTAAGGCGCTTCCTCGCTTGGGACCTGCTGACCCAGGTGATCAGCTGCTGGACGGGGGTCCCCCAGGCCTTGCGTAGGCAGAAGTGGTGCACAGGCAGGAAGTAATTCACACGGGAAAGCTTTCTGAGTGCTCTCAGATAGCAAAGCCCATATGAACCGGAACAAAGCCTGCACAGGCCCTGGCAGACAATCTCAGGACTGAGGCTGCCCAATGCGTGGCTCCTGGGAAGGAGTTTCACTTTTTGTGTCTTTTATAAAAGGGAAAATCCTCACTGGAATGCTTTCAGTTAGTAAAAATGGAAACAGGCGTCCCTGCAGATGTGCTGAGGGGGCCGGGGACTGTGTCCGCCGCCCCCAGTGCCCCCCTCGCCCTCCCAGCTGCCCAGCAACCACAGGCTGGAGTTCCAGCACTCCCAGTCCTGCAGAAGGGCGTCTGCTCTGCCTCTCTCTGCCCCAGGCCCCACCCCAGAGTCCCAACAGTCTGCGACCAATGAGCCATTTCCCTGCCACTATCCTGTCGTTCTCTTCAGAGTCTTCTTCCAGCTAACTACTGTTTCTGTGACAATGTACTTAAAAGACATAGCTTTATGTTTCTACCACAAGTGTAAAAGCAGTAACGTTAATCAGAAACAGGAACTAACTGGAAACAGGAGGTCCATCCTGCATCGGGAAGAACAAAAAGGTTGGCAGTTCAAACCCATTCACAGCTCCTGGGGAGACCTGCTTCCTGAAAGATCCCAGCCTCAAAAACCCCACCAGTTCTGGTTGCCCCGGGGCTCCCGGGAGTCAGAACTACCGATGACAAGTGTTAAACCCGGAGGAAATGGAGACTTTCTCCTGGAAGCCAGCAGCTCTGAGAGAGTGCCGGTGCAGGTCCCTCTTGCTCCACGGGATCTGTGGAGACACTATCTCACTGTCAACAGACAGGTCCAAGCAGCGGTACTCGCAGCAGCCTGACCCGAGCCTCCTGGTCTCCCACCAAGATGCAGGACACCTGAGGCCTCCTCCCAGTCACAGACCGGGGACAGTCCCCAGGGCCTGAACTTAGTGTTGGGTTTGAGGAACACCACGGGCAGAGCCCTTCAGACAGCACGTCCCTGCGAGGAGTGCTTACTCAGTGTCCTTAGTACAGGAGACACACCGCACACTGCTGAATAAATGACACAGGAAATCCCAAGTGCACTGTCCTATGAAGTGAAAACTACTCAACATGGATGCTAAATCCTGATGGTTTTACCCATCCCTGTCCCAAACAAGAAGTGTCACAAGACACCCGAATTTTACAAGTGAAAACAGCCTGGGCACATGCAGATCCAGAACGCCAGCCACACTCGCATTTGGGGTCCAGCAGAAGCCGTGGCAGCCACCCACGGTCACCGGCACTTCCCACAAGTGAGCCGACCGTGCACATGGACCAAGGGCAGGCTCAGGAAGCGCCGGGGCCCACACCCCAACTCAGCCTGGTGGGGAAAGACTCGCTCACGGCTCCACTGCAGAAGCAGACTCATAAAAAAGATCAGACTTAGTGGTCTGATGGAGACTGGTGAGACCCCTGAACTGGGGCCCATCAGCAGCCTACAAGCCCAGAACTGAGCCCACCTCCAGGGACCCACTTTCAGCTAAACAGCAGACAGGTCTTAGAGCGCACACTAAGGGCAGGGAGGAGTGTGTGTCTCAGTCAGGGCATGAGATTACACGGCAGCCAGTGCCCCCACCCCAGCCTGGAAGCCAGGAAGCAGGGCGAACGGGAATGGGGAGGCCAGGGAGGAAGTGGCAAGCGGAGGGACCCATGGTGACTGCAAACCAGCTGCAGGTACATGGGAGATGAACTCGCTCTTTAACAAGGACGCAGGTACACAAAGCCAGGGTCTCACGACCATATGAGCAGGGCGAAAGGTGTCCAGGGACAGCGAAGGGGGCAGACATGGCAACAGGACTCAGGAAGCACTGAGTCTCAGGGGCAGGGACCCCCGGCCACAGACTGGGTCAAGAGAATGCACTCGGCCCTGAAGAGCCGCAGGAGGAAGAGCCCCTGAAGGGTGTCCACGGAGAGGTGACATGTGGGGATGGGCATTTCAGAAAGACCGGAGGCCGTTTAAATGCCAACCTGAGGGAGGGACCCCACATCACCCACACCCATCTCCTCAGCCTACAGAGCCACAGAGACAACAAGACAAGCGTTGGCAAGCTTGGGGACTCACCGTGTGGCAGACTTCGGCCTTGATCTCCTTCAGGGCTCGCTCCGAGAAGACACAGCCGCAGCAGCGCAAGAAGCAAAACCTGCGGAGAATTCCACCAAGAGGGCAGGTTCAGGGCGGGCGAGACCCAACTCAGACCGCCGCCCACCTGACCACTTCACTCAGAGGCCTGACCCACGGTTAAGAATCATTACATCAGGTGCCATTAAAGGAGAGAAAAACATCAGCATGTAAAATAAACAAAGAAACCGATCTGATTTCCCAGGGTGAACAGGAGGCCAGGCTCGCTGACCTGGGGTGGAGAAGTGCCTAACCAGCAAGAGAAGCAGGGGACGGGGAAGCCACAATGGGAGCAAGTGGCTACAGCTAGCCCCTGGTCAAGCCCCCGGAGCTGAGCCTGTCTGCCAAGTTCCTCTATGGGGGCAAACCATGGTTTTCTACAGGAAGTGGAACAGGTCAAGGAGCGTGAGCCTGTTTTCCCAGAATGTTTCCGGCTTGATCCTGTGCTGCCTGCTGTTAAGAGACGGCCCTGCGTGGCTCACAGTCAGACCCCAGCAGAGGAGTGATCTTTAAAACAAAGGCCCGGCGCCTCAGATTTTACTTCTCTGCAACCCACAGTCAGCCCGCTATGTGGTCCCTCCCTGGAGAGCATGGCGTGGTCAGCCACAGGGCCTGGCATGCGAGGAGGTGCCCCCACACCCTTGTTAAAGCAGTGCGCAGGGAGTCCTGATGGTGCAGCGGTCAAGTGCTCGGCTGCTAACCACAAGGTTAGCCGTCCAAGCCTACCAGCTGCCGCCCCGGCAGCAGTCAGCTTCTGTAAAGATCACAGGGCCGCTGTGAGTGAGGGCGGGCCCCACAGCAACTGGCTTCTACAACACCCACAAACGTGTCAGAAGGCTAAGATTAAAGACGGCGGCGTACAGCCAATAAACGCTCCCACTCGCTTGTCCTTTTCTGCCTTCCAGAGGGCGGCCTAGACCAACTGTCACTGACGTTTCTAAGTCAGACCAAACTTACTGGTCTGGGAGCGACTGCAGGAGCCCTGGAGCCCAGGGTCCTCAGACACCCTTCCGGCCTGGAACTGAACTCTCGCCATGTTTAGCTCTATGCTCAGTCAAGCAATTGACAGGCCTAAGAGGTAGGTGGTACACACACCTCAGAACAGCCTGGCACAAAACGGAAAGGGCAGTCTCTGCCCAGGTTTGGCTCAGAGGGCACACAGGGAGCGGAAAGAACAGAAATGGGGTGAGGTTACGCTGTGAGGACCACAATCAATGTTGCAGAGCAGGGAGGAACTGAACAGAAAGCCAGTTGGCTCTGCAGACCGTCACCCCCATCCCCGCGAAGCTCTGTGTGCTCCTAGTTTACGTGGTAGGATGCTGATCGAGTGGGTTCTGATTCACAGCGACCTCGTGGACAACCGAGCAGAGCAGGCCCGGACCCTGCATTATTACGTCTGAGCCTAGGGTAGCAGTCCATCTCCTTGGGGGTCCTCCTCTTTCTCTCTGAGTGAGCGGCATCTACTCACGTGTCCAACATTCATTCCACTGTTTACAGGAGAACAAATCTTTTGGATCTGCTTCATAAGCCGCCAAGGGGGAATGCCAGGACTGGCTGGGCACCGAGGCCAAGCCCCTCAGCCACACCTCCTCGAACACGGCTTCCTGCCACGTGATGTCCAGCAGTTCTGAGGGGGGTTAGTTAGGTGGGAAGCACCCGTCCTTTGCCTGCTTTCTCGTAGGAAAAGGTGCCAGTCCCAGGCTCCTCACTTTGCTCTCCAGGGCAGAGGCCATGAAAACCACAGTCGAGAGGACGCAGAGTCCCATGGCCAAGGGCTGCGACGTCCCTGAACCCAGCACTGTGTGCTCTGAGGGTCACTGGACAGGACTGTGCAGTTGCGAGCCACTTCTCAAATGCTCAGGCCCCGGCTGTGTCCCCAGCCCCGCCGTGACTGACCTGTGCCGGCCGTTCATCTCCACGCCCACCACAGGGCAGATGAAGCGCGCCCGCTGCAGGTCATCGTGCTTGTCCCCTTTGGTGCTGCCCTTGTCCCCTTCCCAGGCAGGGTTGTCAGAGAGCTTCAGCTCTGTCACGTTCTGTGGAAAAGCATCAACATGACAAAGGGACTTCCTGTGTCAACAGACGTACGTCTCACCGGGTTCCTTCCTAGCTTGTTCCGGTCACCAACTGATGACCACACATGTCACAACCACGACTCTCAAAGTCTCTAACCGATAAGGTGTTTTCCAAATCCACACCTCCAGCAGCTGACGTTAAAGAATGCCTCCCAACACTGACGCAGAATGCCAGGAAGCTTTGCAGCAATTTCACACCTGTTAAATTCCGGCACCTGTACCCTGCAGACAGTGCAGGGCTGGGAACTTCTCACCTGAGACTACAGGGACCCGCAGAAGGAGCCCACCCTCCCATCCCAGAACTCTGGGCTTAGTAGTCGAGAACACAGCGGGTCCAAGACAAACCTCATGCAGGGACATGCTATGAGCGTTTCCGGCCCTCCAGTCTCACCTTAATGCTCTTGATGTGAGAGGCTGCCTTCAGGGGCTTCTCGGAAGACTTGTCCAGCAGAAACTCAATGACAGCATCCTTATTGTACAGTCTGCAACAATAAGCACGCCAGTCAAAACACGATGGGAGCCAACAGGCTTCAAAGAACTAAACCAGAGGAGCAGGAGCAAGCAAGAACTGATGGGTGCAGGGCAGAGGACCATCCAAAGTCACATGATTGGTGGCAGAAAGGCCTGGCTTCGTGGACGTTGTCAGGGTGGGAAAGGAGGTTGGTCCAGCCTGTGGAGGACGGCTGGTGGGTCCCCAGAAAGTTGAACACGGAACTCCCATAAAACTCACTGCCATCAGTCGGCTCCGACTCACGGCCACGCCAAGGGCAGAGCAGAACTGCCCTGTGAGTTCAGAGGCTGTCACTCTTACAGCAGCAGCAAAGCCTCATCTTCCTCCGAGGAGCAGCAGATGGATGTGAACTGTTGACCTTGTGGTTAACAGCCCAACGAGTAACCCACTCTGCCACCAGGTCTCTCTGGACCTCTCAGTCACAGACGCAGGCAGAGAGCCAGGAGGAGTGAAAGCAAGGGTGCTCACTGCAGCACTATGTGCAGGGTCCAAAATGTGGACACAGTGGAACTCTCCACTGACAAGACGTTGGGGGAAACACAATGTGGGCTATACACATGGTTCGGGGTGTAGGGTGGGGACCTACTTCAAAAAGTGCACAGGAACACAACATTCCCTTTTAATCCCATCTTTCCAACAACCATGTGAGGCCCCCCTCACACAATGGTGCATTCTCACTGCCTACCAGTCGATCCTGACTCATAACAACTCGATACAGGGTGGAAGAGATCAGCCCTGTGGGTTTCCGAGACTGTCAATCTTTATGGGAGGAGACGGCCTCATCTTCCTCCTGAGGAGTGGCTGGTGGTTTTGAACTGCTGACCTAGCAGGCGGCAGCCCAACGCATAACCCACTACACCACGGTAGAGATATCATTCCACATGGGTGAACCTTAACATGCTGCTGAGCGAAACTGGTCCATCATAAGTGAGTTAGTTAATTGTGCCAGCCTGGCCGATAATCACATGTGGGGCTAATTGAAAGGCGGAGGGATAAATGGGGGGTGAGCCTCGCCTTTCTAGTTCTCGGGTCTCTTGCTTTGTGATGTTCGCACCAGGGTGTAGCTGCCTTAGCAGTTCCCTGCTTCAGCTTGCAAGATTGACTTCCTACAAGACATCCCCAAGGAGAAGCTACATGGACCTATTCCGATGCAGCCCCGGGTGCTGGAGCAGCCGTGTGGAGACCCCTGCTAGTGCTGAGATGCTTGTTCGTTCACTGACTCAGCTTTCCTCCTGCAGTCGGCATCATTGCCTCTGTTTTGTGAGGTGGAGGACTTTGTGGACTGGTGTTGGGTTAATGGGTTAATGTTGGACTTGTGGGCTTGGGCAGCATTGGGTTGGGATGTTTTTGTGATGCACACTTTCTTTACATAAAACTCATATATGAGTTGCTGTGGATTTGTTTCTCCTAAGTACCTAGACTAATACAATAAGGAATGCAAATACTTGCATGATCACATTCATACAAAGCCAGCAAAACCCCAGTTTAGTAACAGTCATGGGGGGAGCAGGGAAAGGGGAAGTTTTTACTTTGGGGTGGTGGTGGTGGTGTGGGCTTCATGTTAGTATTTTGTGCAAAGATAATAAGACTGCTGGTGAAGCATGAAGAATGCAGCCAATGCCATGAATCGTAGATGCAGAAATGGTTGTGCTGGTGAGCATTTTGCTGTGTGTCCTTTACACACACACACACACACACACACACACAAACACAAATCGAGGCTGATATAAATTAAAAGCTACAAACGGACAGCCTGAGGGATGGATGTGACCCGAACAAGGGTTTACATACAGATTGGGAGAATGTAGAAAAAGAATGTTTGGAAACTGACAGCGGTAGCAATTGTACAGTCCTGTTTGATGTGAATGAACTATGGAATGATACATATATTAAAAAAATAATATAAAAAATAAAACCAACAAAAAAAATTGGGAGAGATTTCTAGTGAAGGCACACACACTTTCAACCTTTCTTAAAGAACAGAACAAAAACAAACCAAGCAGCCCAGGAGCAACGAGGGCTGCGTGCAGCTGCGAAGATGGGGCATGCCACTCTACTGCTGCCGCTGTGGCCCCCTGGGCGTGGCACGCAGGTGGGTTATCAACTGAGCCCCAGCTGCCCTGAGTTTTCAAGCTGAGGCTGGGACCTGCGAGACCCCTTCGGAGGGCACAGGTGCTGAGATAGGGAGCACTTCTGCAGGGCCTCCAGATTTGTGCGGGATCACTGACATTGGACAGGTCACAAACGGCATTTCCAACCCACGAAAAAAGTGATCTTACATCACTTAGCCGACACTTTCCCGCTGATTAAAGGAGCCATACCTGCCCAGTTCACAGGCAACTATCGGTCGCCTCAAGATTTCTTGACTGAGAGCGCAGTAGTTCCACTGGGCCACCAATTCTGCATCTTTGTCAACCTAAGCAAGGAAACAAAACAGGCTGTTTAGTGTATCCCCACCCTGGCAGGCACACGGGCCAGAGGTTTGGGTATACAGACTTACTCAGCTGTCCCGTGAGGGCTGTTTATTTTATGTCAGGTATAGGCAGTTTACAACATGACAGACACAGTTTACACTACCTCGTTTTAGTAATCGATATATAAGTATCGATCTTTGTTCAAAGGGAAACTTGGGAGGCCAGAGGGAAAACACAGTGCTGACAAAGGGACCCCCAAACGCAAGACCCCCCTGCAGCCCTCGATTCGGATTCACACAGATGGCCCACGGGTCTCCGAGGCTGGGAATCTCCATAGGCTTCATCTTTCTCCCTTGGAGCAGCTGATGGGTTTGAAACTCGGACGTTGCAATTAGCATCCAAACACCAAACAAACCCACTAAGCCACCAGGCCTCCTCTTAGTTCGGCATACTTAGAACGCACTGCCATCGAGTTGATGCGGACTCAGTGACCCTAGAGGATAGCACAGAACTCCTGTGGGTTTCTGAGACTAAGTCTTTATGGAAGTAGAAACGTCATCGTTCTCTGCAGAGCAGGCTGGTGGTTTTGAACTGCTGACCTCCCAGTTAGCAGCCCACCTAGCAACTACTATGCCTTTGGCATACGAGACCATATAATTCTTTATAAAACCATCCACTGAACAAAAATGCTGTTCACTAGGGGCCGTATCAAACTTTTACCCACAAAGTGAAAATTCAGGCATAGTCCTCAAAAGGAGCCCTGGTGGGCCCATGGGTTATACACTAGGAAACTAACTGCAAGGTCAGCAGTTTGAAAACACCCTCCACTCCTCATGGGAGAAAGATGGGGCTTTCTACTCTCACATAAAGATTTAGAGTCTTGGAATCCACAGGGGCAGTTCCAGTGTGTTCTCCGTAGGGTAGCCATGAGTCATGGAGCTGACTCGAGGGCAGTGAGTTTTGAGTTTACAGTCCTCAAAAGACATCTTCACCAAAATGAAATTTCATGTCCCGCTCTTTCCCAATCCCACACCCAGACCTGAGGAATATGAGGGCAGTGCATTTGGGGGGAAATTTGGAAAACAAAGTAATAAGGAAAAATCTCCTTTTCATTCACTGTGACACCTGCTTACAGTTATTCCCGTGTATGCCTGACCATGTGCCAAGCAGTTTCTGCAACAGTGCCTTGGCGAGCTCCATACAAAGCCTGCGATTAGTGTTGGTACCTTGGCAGATGTGGCCCTGGAGCCACCAAGAGGCTAGCTAACTTCTCAGGGCCACACAGCCAGCAATTAAAGGGGAAGAACCCAGCAGCTCTACAGAAGATTCTATTCTAGAAAACCCTATGGGGCTGTCTTCCTCTGTCACAAAGGGTGGCTATGACTCAGAACTGCGTCAATCTTAGTTACAGGCCAGACACAGGGAAGGGGCAGCAGAAGCCCTTGTCCACACAAGTCCTTGTTCACAGGGGAACTGTTGGTTTGGGCTCACAGTGACACTATGTACTACAAAATGAAACACCGCCTAGTCTTACACCATCCTCACAATTGTTTCGTTTGAGCCCATTGTTGCGGCCACTGTGTCAATCCGTCTTGTCCAGGGTCTTCCTGGACTTTTTCGCTGCTCCTCTGTTTTACCAAGCACAGGCAGAAAGACAAGAACAAAGACGCACTGAGACAAGCAATATGAAGTACAGCAGCGGCAGGGGATGCCGATGATACCGAGAGGACACTTGAGTGAGGCACTGAATGAAGGGCAGGCCCGTGTGGCTGGAGCAGAAGGAGAGCGCTGGAGAGGGGCAGGAGGCGAGCCTGGTGCGCAGCAGTGGTCTGCTTGCACGGGCCCTTGTGGGAGTTTATTCTGGATGGTACAAGAACTCACTTGAAGGATATGAGGGGGGTTACCTTTTTAAAAGCCCTCCCTGTCTGCTGAGGCCAGAGTACATGTACCACCCTCATATGTCAGGGGTTAGGTATTTCACCAACTTTCCAGCATTAAAAAGCAATCGCCAGTGCTAACTTCGGGGTCCCAAAGAACTAGCAGGGAATCCTGGCTCCATCTCCTCAGAGCTGTGTGAGTTTAATCACAACATCAATGTGGGGAGCCCTGGTGGCACAGTGGTTAAGCACTCGGCTGAAGAGCCCAAAGCGTGGCAATCTGAACCCACCACACCCTGCACAGAAGGTAAACGTGGCCACCTGCTCCCGTGAAGACTGGAAGCTCCGGGAACTCGCAGAGGTGGTTCTTGTCTGTTTCAGGGTCTCTCTGAGTCAGAATTGACTGGAGGGCAACAGGTTGAGCTTGGTTTGGACCTAATTTCCCTGCAGTAACATGGAAAGGATTATACACAGTAATCTATTCAATTTCTTGGGAGGATGAAGCACGGTCCACTCATTCATCTATCCAACGTATGAAGAGGCTTCGGAAAGTTCTATTATCTTTAATTACATTTTCCACACACTTTTTGAAGCCAACCCTCCCTACTCCCCTTCCTATTTACTGAGCCAAAGGCCAGGCTATTTGTGGAGCATTAAAGGGCTGCCACTATTATCAAGAGTCACAGCATGTATCAGATTCAAAGTCACTGCAATCCAGTGGATGGCCACTCCGAACGACCCTGTGGGACAGGTTGAACTGCTCTTGGGAGTTTGAGGCCATAACTCTTTATGGGAGAGTAGAAAGCTCCATCTTTCTCCCTGGGAGAACCTGGTGGTTTTGAACTGCTGATCTTGTAGTTAGCAGTCCAGTGGGTGAGCAGTATGCACCAAGGCTCATCACCCACTGCTTTTGAAACCAAACTCACTGTCACTGAGTCAATGCTGACTCATAGCGAGTCCTGGTGGGTTTCCCAGGCTGTGACTGTTGACAGGAGTGGAAAGCCCAGTCTTTCTCCCTTGGAGCTGCTGGTGGTTTCGAACTGCTGACCATGCAGATCACAGCCCAACATGGAACCAATACACTACCAGGACTCACTGCCTAGTGGGGGACAAAAATCAAACCCAATGACAGCCACTGGATTTCAACACACAGGGACTGAATAAAGCCAGATGTTAATGGACCACAAACGCTGTGTACAAGGTTGCGTAAGAGACTTTATCAGAGAATGTCAGAATCTCATGGAGGGAAAGGACTTAAGAAAAATTTTTATTTCAAAATAATAGGAATTTTGTCAAGTGCCCAATACAGTGCCTGGCATATGTGGGCAAGCCTGTATATGCTAAGAAAATGG